GCTTGAGCCACATCCCCAGCCCAGCATTTTTCCTTTTTAAATTAAAATGTAGTAGCAGCTGGAACTGAAGTAGAGTGCTCCCTGTCACCAAAACAAAACAAAAAAAGTAAAAATAAAATGAAATAATTAATAAAGGTTTAATTAATATTCCATACAGTTCATTGAACGTATACAATCTACTGGATTTAGTGGTGCACACCTGTTGACCAAGCTATTCAGGAGGCTGAAGCAGGAGGATCACTGGAACCTAAGGTTTCAAGGCTAGCCTGGGCAGTGTGGAAAGACATGACTCTTTCTTGGATTGGAAATAAATTGTACAATCCAAGGATTTTTAGCACATTCAAAGATGCGCTTTCATATATCTTTCATATATGTACAGTTGTGTAAACATCACAACATTAGCATATTTTTACCATCCCCAGAAGAAACCGTTTATCAATAGCTTTCACTCCCCATTCCCTCCCCCAACCCTAAGCAAATTTGCCTATTCTGGACATTGCACATAATCCTATAAAATGAGGTCAATTGTGATTGGCTTCCTTATATAGCATAATGTTTTTTTAAAATATTTTTTAGTTGTTGATGGACCTTTATTTATTCATCTGTATGTGGTGCTGAGAATCTAACCCAGTGCACCACACATGCTAGGCAGGCGCACTACCGCTGATCCACAGCCCCAGCCCCAGCATAATGTTTTTAAGGTACATTCACGTTGGAGCATGGCTCAATACTTCATTTTTTAAAACCTATTTGTTCTTTTTAATTATACATTACTGTCGAGTGTATTTTGACATATCATGCATACGTGGAGTTGTACATGATATAGAGATACACTGGTCGTGTATTCATATGTAAACAGAAAAGTTATGTCTGATTCATTCTACACTAAAGTTATGTCTGATTCATTCATACACTACTATTTGTAGTATGTAACTACAAATGGAATCGATGGGTTCTATGGTAGCTCTGTTTCCTATTGCCATCTACCCTCCTTAATTAAAAAAATATATTTTTGGTTATAGATAGATGTGATACCTTTACTTAATTAATTTATCTATTTTGGGGTACCAGGGATGGAACTCAGGGGCACTCATCCCTAGCTGAGCCACATCCCTAGCTCTGTTTTATCTTTTATTCAAAGACAAGATCTCATTGAGTTGCTTGGAGCCTTGCTAAGTTG